ACTTAATAGAAAAATACGTCGTCTCTTCCGATAAAGAAGAAAGGTATTGTGTATTTAGTATAGTTAGGAATGTGGTTTGAAGACTAATAGATATTAGTGGCTGGTAAGATGTACAGAATACCAAACTCATAAATTGAAACTAAAGTTAAGTTTATGAACTGCAGACCTGACACTAGTGAAACCATCGGTGTGAAGTCCATGATGTGGACCATAACCACGGTGGTACTATTCCTCCTTGGGGGAATGGCTGCTGGGTTGCCTGAGATGCCATCGGTGGGCGATCTGGTAAGGAACGATTTTTGTGGTGCACAGTTGGTTTAACATGGCTAATAACTTCAAGGCTATAAACTTTATCAATCTTCCAACAGATTGATGCTGTAGGAGAGAGGCCCTTCAGATCACTGAGGGATTTGAATGACTATACAAATAGTCTTCTTGATCTTGCTAACCATCATATGGCAAGGTCTTTCGCAGCAGAGACGCGACGATACAAAAGGGGTATGTTAATCTCTTTAACTGGGGGTGGGCGGGCTGGTGGGCTCATGGACATTAACCAGGTTATTTTATTAATCCTCCCTTTCAGCCTTTGATGAGACTTCAATTGTAATAAGTGGTACAGCAGGATTTGGCACGGGATACACGTTTGCCATGGACGACTTGTCAAAGTTTAATTCTACAAATCTTCTTGGTGTGACCAAACTAACGGTGCATGATGGCCAAAACAACGCATACTGGATTTTGACTTATGACGGGTAGGTCTTTAACCTAAAATAGTTAGTACAGGGATTTCTTATAAGAATTAAAGATAATAATTAATCTTTTTATTACAGGGCTCAAAAGCAGCATGCTGTAGTTGCAGTTGATCCAACTTTGAGCTTGTTGAAACTAGTAACCACTTTTCAATTGCCTGAATTTCCAGTCTTGGGAGAATGCGAAGTAAGTCGTACTGAGGTTGTGGGGGGAGTAAGTTGATAACTGACCTGTGAAACAGTGCGTAACTTCAATACATTGATTGATTGTGTCATAAATGTATCTTTGATCACTTCCAGGCCTACATCCACAACGGAGTACTGTGGGTGGTAATATCGAGTGTGGACAAGAACATGATCAAAACGCTTAGTGTGGACCTACTCACATCGAATATGGATATGCCCCAAGTCCTCCAAGTAAATGGGATAGTAGGGGGGATGCATCTATTTGAAGATGGTGCCAGTTTGTATCTGGCGACTGGTATAAGAAGTGCCATTAAACAAGAGTTGGCACCAGACTCGAGGTATAGCATGCTTAATCCTGTGGGGGGGGTGTATAGTGTTAATAGTATATTATTTAAGGATGCTTTCCTTCCAGTCTCTACAAACTAGTCGGTCATCACTTCGATAGGCTGGATGAAATCTCATTCAGATGTCGCAATGTGACTAGCATAACTGGCTTCAAAAATAGAGGAGAATACTACTTGATCTTTGGCACATCCAATGCTGTAAGTGGATTTCTTAAGTCTTTCGTTACTGAAAGATAGTGTGATAAAGTAACCAAACATTAATCTTCCAGGGAGGTTCCCATGTGTACAAGTTCAATGAAGCCTTGAGTACCATGTATTTAAGCCAAATACTAAATGAGGTGGAAGTCTCTAGCACTGCATACTTCTATGAGCGGCAAGAGGGTAAACACTATGTAATCCTGAATACTGGTGTTGAAGCAGTTCTCTACCGCTTTGAAGGTTGGTCTTAATTTTTTTACTTTTTTTTTTTTTTTCTCCTGAACAATTTGATTGTAATGCTAAACCTCTTCCAGGGCTAGGATTTCTCCTATGGCAAACTCTGGAAACGCAAGCCCCCATACCAGCTATTACAAGCCTCGAGTCTTTCACGCTTCCATCACTTGAAACGATTCTCATGACTTCCCGTGGAGTAAGTTCACAATTTGGCTTTGGTGCGAGTATAGTTTTGTTTAAATTCTTTTTCTTCACTTGACTTCTCCTACCTCCAGGATAGTGTGACCTTTTACTCGGATGATGTGTATGGTTACTTCAAGCTTGCCTTCGTAATGCAAACCCACTGCCAATCCATACACAATCTGCTTATGAAAAAAATGCGCAACACTTATGTGATTGTGTATGTCTGTAATGAAGGTCTAGAAAGCAGCCTCGACTCTAGAGAAGTGATCATGGATGAAGTGAATTTAGGTAGGTCTCTTTACCTAAAGCCTCTCAATTTTACCACTCTATGGTGGGGATGGGGCTTCTCTACCTAGAAGCTTGAATAACTTTTTTTTTTTTAGAAAAACCGAAAGACATGGAAGACCTTCTTCTAGACTGCCTCATTGACTTGGAAGGAGACCTGGAAGCAAGGAAACCAACTGTATCTTGGCTTGAACAGGCCATTGCAGATGAAGTTGTGATGACTAATGATGTATCACAGGTCTGTATATTTGTAAAAGCGGCATAACTTGGGCAAAGACTCGGTTGCATGCCCATTGTTGGAGGGGGGGGGGATTAGAAGATTGTAACAAAAGTCTGTTTTGTCTACCCCCCTACCTCTCGCTTCTATATGGCACCTTCTCCAACCCCCCCATAACTTCCTAACCTGAACCATATTTGGATGGATAATGGTCTAGCTCTGGATATCTCCTGGACCTTCTTGGAGCCATGGGCATGGTAATGTCTTGTCTAGACTTTTTACCCCTATGAATCCCTGATAATTGTCAAGGCTAATCTGTAATTTATGATGCTTGGTATAGCAGACTATACTTTTGATCCCACTACAGCCCCTTGCTGTCTACAGTACTTAAGATTAAAGCTTCCATTAACAGCTATTGGATAGTCTGGGTATTGTTAAAATGTGGCTTGCTAAGATCCATTACTTGTTTAGTGTTCCACTCCCTCCTAAGCTTCCATGTAACAGCTATTGATAGTCTGGTATTGATAAATGTGGCTTTGCTAACAATCCATTACTTGTTTAGTGTTCCACTCCCTCCCCCGGCAGATTTTGATAGTATCTGTAACCAAGATTACCTTCCATTAATGACCCCCCCCCCATAGACTTGATTGGTCCTGTCCTATTAAATGCAAGCCTTTTGCAAGTCGCAGCAGTGATAACCATCGCCTTGTGCATACACCTCTTGTAGATGGCCCTCTTTTTATAAGGATTATCTTGATGGTGCTTACCTTGGCTAGGCTTTAATTTTGGCCTCTTAACTTGTGTATGACTTTGCTTGTACTTGCTGACCTTTCTCCCATATAAATCTTTTATTTTTTATCCCTCTAATTACAAACAAAGTCTTACTATGGCTTGCAAAGCCCTCATAACTTGCTTCCAACATTGTAAGTCTTGGTCATTGCATCCCCTGAAGGTAAGGGGACAAACCTTGCCTTGTGCCTCCCTCTGGATGACCTGTATCCCTAGTATTCCCTCTCCCCCCCCCCTTCCTTGCATGCCCCAACCCCTGCTTAATCTTTTATTGCCCCCCTTTGTCTTAAAAACCCTAATCTCTTCTTCCCTAGATCCTAACAATCTGAATGGCTTTATTCAACTCTCTAGCCAATCCTTACCATTAAACCCCTCCCCCTCTACTCTTGCCTGTATCTATCTCTACTTCTCAAGTTCATCTTTTAGGACAGGTTGAACTAGCCCTCTTTACTGAAGTGATTATCTACCTAATGGGTACAAAAATAAGAGGCCACTAAATTTCAGACCTGGCAAGAAACGCAAGTCTTTGCAGCTGGTCTGACTGTTACTGGCACAACGGGTATCCTCCAGACTGCAACTATAAACGGCCAGGGTACAACACAACCAAATGCAGAAACTTTCGACGAGTTTTACTCCAAAACTGTTACCCTGGAGGTAAGTACACTGTACATAACTTTGTACATTACCTTTCAGGTTGTTTACCTTAACTAGTCTAAAGTGGTTAACATCCTTATAAAATTAACAGGATGGTGTAGAAGTCCTCGGTGATAGCTTGAGTGATGTTTTGTACCTCTCGACAAACCAAGTACTTTCTGGGTCAGTTGTTGCGTCTGTCATAACTGCAGACAAACTAGAATCGAATAGCACACGGGTCACAAAGGTTAGTAATGCAATGATAATTATATTTTATCAAAACTAATCTAAAACTAAAAAATAATAACAATAATTAATAATCTTAATTCATTTCAGTTGAATGAAATGCCAGTGCTGGATATGTCAAACACCTTCATGATTGATGGAATAGACCAGAATATAATGTCTTCCATGTATATTCATTCACTAGAGACAGATGTCTTTTCTACAAGAGAGCAAGGCTCCTCTGCATCTATTAATAACGTGCTTACCAACCGTACGTATAACAAATTTAATTTTAAAGTACACTTTATTGGAAGTTGCACTAAAAGTAATAAAACAAATGTACCGATTTACAGAGTTCATGAGAACTTCCGTAACTTCTCAAGAAGTAACGGGTAACCACCACTACAGTGACATTCTTGTAAACCACATCCATGGCAAGCAGGGTGATGGATCTCCACTCTCAATTAATGGCATAGACACCAATAAAATTGTTACTAAAGGAAACAATTTTACCTTTGTGGACAAGAAAACGTTCAATAGCCTGACTGTTCTACAGGAGTTAGATGTCCAACTTGTCAATGACGTAAGCACTATTGCCTAATTTCTAAAATTCCCATTTAAGATTTCTTAATCTTAAAGATTACTCATTACAGGTCGACCTATCTGATCTTTCAAGCCATTTGGTGTACAAGAATACATTCAGGCACCAAATACTGGATGGATCTTTTACTCTACATGATGTAATTGTGGATGGTAATGTTGACGTTAAAAACATCAATAACGTGGACATGAAACAACTGAATACAATGGTTGTCAGAACTTCTGGAGACTTTACATTATCTGGTAAACTCTACTTATCTTTGATAGACGTCGGTACTAAACTTCTGGTCTCTACATAGGTTGCTATAATGTACTTGCTTGCAGGTGATGTAAACTACCAAAATGACTTCCACGTGTCTGGAAACCTGCTCAGCCCAACACTGAATGGAATTGTTATGGATAACATAGTAGATAAGGATACTACTCACATTAATGGTCTCTACACCTTTACAAATGCTAACGTTAAAACGGCTGTTGGCTGCTCCAACATCAATGGAATAAATCTAAGTGCTGATGTTGTGACCGTCGATGCTGACCAGACTATATTGGGTAAGTTCACATCTGATTAATGATGCTATTAGAGATGGGGGGGGGGGGGAGAGAGGTTAGAAATAACCAATTTTTATCTTTTTCAGGTAGTCTAACCTTCACTGACGACGTGTTAGTGACTGGCCCTGCTGGAGTAAGGATGCTTGAGTCGGTTACCATTAATAATATCGACCCCTATAGCCTCGATAAGATGGATGACCATGGTAACCTGTTCGTAGAAAGGGATGTGGTCTTTAGTGCACCACTTCATGTAAGTAAGGGACTGGGTAGTTTATTTTAAAGTAAAATGAGTGATAATCAGAAAACTAAATGGGAATTGCATGCAGGTGACAGAGGACGTAGATGTTGATGTTGTCAATGCATTGGCACTGGAAGGCATGGAAAACCGTTACTGGAGAAAGAGCACTGATCAAGAAATTGATGTTTTGCCACTTATTGGATCTACCACTTTCAGGTAAAAAAAAAAAAAATCTTCAAATAACCAGTCCTAAATATATTTTCCATTACCTGAATCTACTAAAACCTGTATTTAATTGCAGCAAGCCTGTGACGGCTAAGAACATTAACAGCCACCAGATGGCAGACTTTTTGTCTGTAACAGGCTCCCAAACCATCAATGGAGCATATACCTTCCAGGTAAGAATCTAGTATAAAAGCAGTACTTGTACCGAGAAACCCCTATGGAGAATAACCATCCCACCATATTGTGATTTGCACTCTTGGTACCACTGTAGGTAAACTTTAATCCCAACTTTTACAGGGATTGGTAACTGTAGATGGAAACCTCCAAGTAACGGATGGCAAGAAAATCGATGGTGTCGATGTATCATCACTGCATGATAACTTGGTAACTCTGTCTGATAATCAAGACATCGAAGCAGAGACCGTAAGTAACTTTATTAATTTGTATTTGCTTTTATACATCTCGACCATCTTAAACTTTCTAAAGAACAATTAACTTTCTAGTCATTTGGGAAGCTCGCCATATTGGGTGACTTGGTGCTGAATGGTGACCTCAATGGATGGGATGTTGTGACCGATTTTGTACGGCTTGATCAATCCCTACCTCAAACTGGTGAGTGGCTTAATTTTTTCAGGGTTTCTTTTCTATCTCCCTTTAGGCATGTTATTAATACCTTCTCCTTTCAGGGAGCCTTAACTTCATTGACAAAACTACTGCAACATCTCTGCAGCTCTCTAGTGCAGACATTACTGTTCAGAGCCTTAATGGAATGAATGTGCAGGCTGCTGCAGAAGATTTGGTCTTGGTAAATGAAGACGCATCACTTGCTGGGCCCCTGAAGTTCACATCTAGCACAACAGGTGGGCGTGTATAGATAGATAGATAGATAGGTAGATATATCTATACCTAGACTTTGCATGATTTAAACAAAGCATGATGGAACCTTGTCATTTCTCAATGCTTTACTTTACAGCAACCAACCTCCATGTTAGTGGATTGGTTGACGGCGTTGATGTGTCGGATCTTGTGGACCGCAGCCTTAAGAAGACCTCTGCTACACCACAAGCAGTAACAGGGACCATAACCGTAAATAAGGAAGTTCACTTTGATCAGAGCCCATCTCTGGCTACGGTTAACGGCAAGGACTGGACCACCCACCTCGACAAGGCAAGGACGTGTAAATTTAAAATATGCCTGGGGGGGATGCAGGCAACAAGTGGGTTCATTTTTACCTAAATTTCAGGTTGTGCCACAACACTACAACGGAGCAATTGGCGGAAAGAAGACCTTCACAAAGCCAGTTTCTATATCTAGCAACTTCAACCCAACCACCATAAACGGATTTAGTGTAGCTCCCCTAACAGACAGAATACTGACCAAGAGTACAAGCCAGGTTGTTGGCAGCAAGTACACCATCAGTGGGGAAGTTGTGGCTAGTATGTATAGTAAAATTGGAAGGCTTTCGGTAACCATCTTTAATAAACTAAAAGGGATATCTGATGGAAGAGCTAGGATAATTCCCCTTTATCCACTTTTAATTGACACTAATGCCCCTACTTTACAGCTAATGTGGTTGCAGCAGAAATTGATGGAGTATTGGCCTCCAATCTGCTCCTCAAAGACGAAAGCAGTTCAGTGGCTGGCATTGTGGATTTTGCTGAGAACTTGATTGTTGCTGATGTAACATCCGATTCAGGAGTTCTTGATGGATGCAATTTAGTTCAGGTTTGTATAACAAAACTTGTACTGTTTAAGCTCATTGTATGTAATTTTTTATATTCTATATAAAATGTTCTCCTTTTCTAGTTGAACACCTCAACAATCTGGAAAAACGCCAATGAAGATGTGGTGATACCATTCAACATGGCAGTAACTAATCTTTTGGTAAAGAAAGAAGCAACTGCAAATGCTGCAGTAAAAGCTGGAACAAGCAACATGGATATCTTCCATTTCCTGGATAAGCTAGTAACAAAGTCTTCTAACCAAGAAATATCTGGTTAGTTAATTTTTAGGTCCTTAAATATCTTTAAATTGAACAAATGCAGTAGGACTTATTGCTTCTAACCTTTACCTACAGGCACTGTGGAATTCGTGAGTGACTTGTCTGTGAATGATCTTGCAACAAACACCATAGATGGCACTAATGTAGACTCTCTCTATGCATTGACTGTTATGGACAATGAAGCCAGTGTAAGTATTTTAAGGGTTAAAGATTAACTGAAGGTCTTGGTGTGAATGGACACTAAGTTTTACTTCATTACAGGTAATCAACTGTAACACCGACTTCACCAAACTTCTGACGGTTGGTAACCTGAAGGTAAAAACCTCCCTGCATGGATCTGGTGTTGAAGGGGTGCTGATAGATGCAATGAATGTGACGGATGTAAATATCCATGCAGTCCACTTGACAGGTGGACCATATCTGATAACTGGCGATAAAACCTTCAGCAGTGGTCTTTCTGTTGGAGAACTTGTTATTTCTGGTGAGGCTTATGAAGTTTTGAAACTATAAACTAGCAATTAGTGTAGAGGAGATCATCTAACTCCTTATTTATGCTACAGAATCGTTAGCTGGAGTACCTGTAGCCAACTTGGCAGTGCTCTCGGAGAATTCTGGACCCATTATGGATACCGCCTTCATCCCTCCTACTGACCTAGTCTTCAAAGCACCTATCTTGATAAAGGGAGATTTAGAGGTAAAAAGCACTTTTCAAAAGTAAGCAAAAGAGTAAATTGAAAGACTTTTTTAATTTTTACTTTCTTAAACAGGTAAAAGGGCTGTTGGATAATGTAAACCTTGAGCAGCTCCTATCTGACAGGATCAAACTAGATGCTACTGAAACTTTAAGCTCGTCTACTAAATTTGATGGAGTGAAAGTGGAAGGTAATGTCTTATGATGGTGGGAGGAAGAATACTATCCAAACCAAATTGGTGTATGCTAAGTTACCTAAATTTTCAGGTGACCTCCACGTTGAAACCATAGATGGAGTCCTGGTGTCGGATATAGTCTTTAAGTCGGGAAGGGTGCAGCAAGAGATTGAAGGAGTTAAAACCTTTACTGGAGGGCTACATGTAGTGGGTGAAACGCAGGCCCCTGTGATAAATGGAGTAAATATTCTGGACTTGAACAATAATGTAGTCCGGAAAGACCGGTCAGCAACAATAACTAAAGAACTGGTAAGTGGGGTGGGAAATGTACCTATTCATTTTCTTGTATAAATGGTTAGTACAAAAGTCTTTCTCCAGGTCTTTGAGAGGGCATCAGAATGCCAAGTAGATGTGTTGGTACAAGGAGATGTAAATGGTTATGATCTTTCTGAAACTGACTACAAAACCTCGGTACTACAAGGAAATATTCAAGCGGCAAATGACCGCTTGGTTAACCTCAACTCTACTCTCTCAACAATCCATGTTGAGACCAAGCTACTAGCCTGTGGTATGTAGCTCCCATTCTCCCTCTAAATCTAATCGACAAGCATCTATAGATTAGACCTCCAATTAAGACTATTGTCAGTCTCCCATGTTTACCCCTTTTTAATTTTACTAGAACAATTAAGTTTTTATTTTCCACACTAGTGGACCTTGCCTGCTTTCAGCTCCTTACATAAATCCTGCTAGTGCTTGGCCACAAAGTATCTGCAGATACTGCTCACAAATTAAGCACTGCATTGTGTTAAGCTAGTTATTGCAATATTTCAGGAATGTATGAAACCTACCACTTTGGAGAAAAAATAAATGATAAGGCCATATCCATTTCTGGAAGAATGAGTTATGGAACATTTGGAGGTGCTTCGGTAATGGCTGTGCGGGAATGCAGTGACTACGAATGCAATTGCCCTATGCAATATGCTCTCTACGAAGTAAGTAGGGGCTCTTTTGAATTTAAATAAGGCCTATAAACCTAGGGGAAAATGGAAAATGTACAATGTCGCAATTTCGCCAGGTTGATGATAACGGTAGTACAAGCCACATAGAGACGGACGTAAACTCTGCTTTCATCTTCAGTACCGAAGGTTATGGAGGCACTGGAATACTTAGCAGGTATGTATAGCGCAGGTCTATAAAGATTAGATGTAATCTTAAGATTACTATCCACTAAAGCTTGTTTCTCCTAGCTGTGCCAATGGCGGTTCAAGTACTGTAAAGCTGTTGCTGAACAATATAGAAACGGACCTACCACAAGGATCAACACTAGGGATTATTGCAGACGCAAAATCCTTCAGTACCAGTGATGGCACCTACATAGTGACCGCAGGTGCAATTTCTAGTAAGTAGGGTTCGACCATTCAAACAAATACCACAAATTGCAAACTAGACCTAGTGTTTAGTTTCTCCATTTATCAGCATGGGCATGCATAACCTAACCATATTAGTGACTTAAATCACCTTAAGGATTTAGTGACTACCGTATGTACAAGTGGCTAGGCACAAGAGTAATATTGGGTACTATCTTTCTAGACTCGAATACTGCTACAACAAAAGTCAGTGTCTTGAAGCTGCGAAACAATGCCATAGATATAACTTGGTCTCTGGATACTTCCTATAGTGCTTCAACATTGGACTTGACTTTGGTAAGTTTTAAAAAAATTAAAATATATATATAATAATTAGGGAGCAGGAACTTAATTTCCCTAATTTCAGGGAGACCAAGGTTGGCTGCTGTTAGTAGCTAACTTGATGGCAGCAAATGATACTGTTGATCCCTTCATGGCACCATCACAACTCTATCTCTGGTCTACTGCAGAAGAAAAGGTAATTTGGCTAAACTAGTTTAATTTTAACTAGGTTAAAGAATGGATGGAGCACTTGCTTAAATAAAATATTTTCCAGTTCACCCTTGTTCAAGAGTTTATGGGTCAACATGTGACTTCGGGTATCTTTTTGAATTCGAGGAAGAATCTACAAGAAAAATTCTTTACTCTGGCCCAGTATAAAACGGCAAAATCGCAAGTACAGGGAACAAAGTCTAATACAAAAGTGCAGGTAAGATTTCAATCTTTAGGACGTAAATGATTACACTACACGAACCATCGCCAACCATGGTGGGGGGGGAGATTACTAGGACCTCTCCTTTACTTTGCAGGTGTTCAAGTACTTAGACTCTGGTTATGTCCCATTCGAGAGTTTACCAACATTTGGAGCTATTGCCCAAACTTCGATCTCCATAGGAGATGACCTCTACTTGGCAGTACTTTCAGACTTTACAAATACCCTAGATGTCTATGAACTATTGCCGTCTGAGGTAAGTAGTGAGGGGTGGTGGGTGAAGTTAGATTGAGTCTTGATAATAAGGAATAAATGAGAAATAATTTAAATTTCTTTCCAGGGATTCCACCTGCAGCAGAGCATCGCCGTATGCGAGACTCCCATTGACATGAAGAAGATTGATAAGACTGAAGATTTGCTTATTATTTCTTGTGCAAACCCAAGTCGTATGATAACCATAAGATTAAATGCCAAAGGATACTCTTACAGATCATAAGTGAAGTGTGGAACTTGTTTATTTTAACTTTTAATATATATATCTATGGTATTTAGACTTTTAATAACCCCAAAGAAGCCTAACCAGGCAAGTTCGCTCTTAATTCTGACCATAACTTGCCCAACTTGCTGTGTCATCTCTGAAACTGAATATTGCCTACTGATTTGATCCTCTGCTTGGATAAGGGTAACTTGTTCGCATTAATTTTCAATTTAATCACAAATTGACAAGTGTGGGGGGGGGGGGTTGATGCATGCATAGGCATTTCTGTACAAGCCATGGAACACTAGTTTAAGCCTGCTCTCAAATGAGCATGTGTTGACAGCATCCAGTATCCAGTTTAATTTAGTCAGTCCAGGCTTGACTGAGTGCAATGATCAATATTGCACATGTGCACAATGAGCTAGTTGTAATAACATCCACTCCATTTTGCCAACTTTAGTCAAAATTGATTTGCAAAATTAAACTTCAAAAGTCAAGCTTCCAATTATTTAGAACCTCCATCTGGAATCTGTAGGTCAATTTAAGAGGGGGGGGGGGGGGAATCCCATAATACCAGCTTAAAGGCTCTTTTGGTAAGAGGTCGGTAAAGTCTTCAACTTGTGAGATTTGAAGATGGTGTTTCAAATAAACTTCAAAATCTGACCAACAGCATGGATAGGTAGGATCCTCGCTACAAACATCTGGGAGGGAACTACGCAACCCATGCCCCACTCTCGTGCATGAATTACCCAAATTCCAGTTAATATAAATAGTTTCTCCCTTTTGCTTTAATTTAAGTGGTCTATAATACTTGCAGGCTATAAATCCTTACAGTAGATATGTACGGATGGATCAGTATATTGGGGTGGGGGGGGTGGGGGGGTTCTGAGGCCCATACCTTTCTCCCTTTTGCTTTAATTTAAGTGGTCTATAATACTTGCAGGCTATAAATCCTTACAGTAGATATGTACGGATGGATCAGTATATTGGGGTGGGGGGGGTGGGGGGGTTCTGAGGCCCATACCTGCCTTGCATGCAAGCCCTCAACCAAAACTACCCCATTAGAGGCAAGACCTTTAAGTCTTGGCCTGTTATTGCCATGCTCTCAACTTCATTTTACAAAGCAACTACAGGTGGGAACCTTGCCAACATATAGGTTAGATGTTGGCAAGCTTACCCTCTTGGAGGGGGTCAGTGGTGGGGGGGTGCTTAGAAATGCCCAAGGGCTTCACTCAAAGCCCCACTAAGTCAAATTTGTCCTAATTTGACAAATTTTAAAGTTGTATCATGAGACCATTTGGTACTATATTCTAGCTATACCCTCTCTAGTACTGGATACCTTTTTTAAAAGACGGACTTCTCTATTGAACCACCAATTGAATCTTGTCCAGATTCAGGCCTGAACACTAGTACTAACCCTTATTACCACACCACACCACACCACACCACACCACACCACACCACATAGTTGATCCCAGGATAACTTTCTCAGTCTACTAGCCCATTAATTGCTAGGGGCTTGTTCACCACCCCCCCATTACAAAACTCCCAACCCCTTGCCCCAACTAGAAACAGACTAAAAACCCAAGGCTGGGATCTCCCGACTTGTACCTCGCCCCTTGTACTTTTTTACTTGAGTGTGATTAAAGATGACTGACATTCCTGATTGGCCTGGGAGCCTGTTTGTCTAAAATATTAATACTTGAACCCTAATAGTTTCTCCCAATATACTCTCTACTCTAGTGTGGCTAAATTTGCCATGGTGTTCCTACAGAACAAGGTTCCTTCATCAAATGGCCCCACTGACTTGCTCTCCTGGTCCCCCCCAAGGCTCTAGTTTGACCATGACTGACAACACCTCCCCATCCTCAATGCCTACACCATCGTCCACCCAAGGCACTCAACCTCCAGGAAACCTTACTCCCAACATTCTCCCCTTTTATTTGCCCCATCCTCACTTGCTACAACCTTATTGCCTCTCCTTTCCTTCCTGCCCTACCATCATCCTCCCCTCTTTAGTCTGAAAATATTTGGCCCAGCTAAAATTTCATAATTTCCCCCCCTCCACTCCTCCAATCTGAACTGATCTCTCTGGCAACCCCATTACTGCAGAACTTCCTAACCCTCGGTACTTGTACTGGAACACTCCCCCAACAAACTGCTTTCTTTAACAAATTGGTCCAGTTGTGGAGAAGACTGTACTACAAGCAGTGAGAGGCAGGCAAGCAAGTTATTCCATGCCTCCTGGAGGCCATCATAACCCTTGCCAAAATTACTATATACCTTCAAGGTTTACATAGGAGAATCGTTCACTGTCCAACCCTGTCCACCCCATGAATATTAAAATTGTCGATATTTAAGGCATCCTACCTGGCACATGGGTTCACAGCCCAATGCCATTTATGCCCAACCTGGTCATAACCTATCAAACTGCTCTGCAGGCATGCATATGTCGACTGTGGCAGCCTGTGTTTTTAGGCCTACCTGATCTAAAAGTTTGAGTGAGGTGACCACCTCAGATTTAGATGTCTAGCTTCAGTGCCAGGCCAGGAAGTGCCTCATTGAGGTTTTTTTTTCTTGCTCACTACTCTATAAATGTTGCTCACTCTGCCTCTCCCTCTTCCTCCCAAGATTTTCCTACACCCACCCCTATCCCTTCATTTTACTTCCTCACTTCTACCTCCTAATCTCTTGCAGGTAGTGTGGGGAGGTACGAGTTCCACCTTCTACCACAATTGCCTCAATCTACCTTTGCCTCTACTCCTCAAATGCAAGTCTCATCTTCCCCCTCATAAGAACCTCCCCAAACTGACCTAAACACCATCCACCCTCCAACTCCCATTCCCTCCACACTCCATGACTGCTGATATCCATCGTATTTATATTCCCCCCTACACCCCTTCCTTCCACCTACATTAACCCCCCCTCCCTTCCCTTCTATCCCTTCCACTCCCTCCTGGATACACATACGAATACCTTGTCACAACTATGCTATTCCCACAGATCCTCCACCTGATACCCCTCCTGATGCAACACCCAATCCCCTTCTCATTCCTTCTCACCCCTAGCTCCTTCCCCATCAAATTCCCCAACATGCACTCTAGATCTATGAGTGATAACGGTTAAAGTATAGCTCTCCTACATTAGAATATTTGTTGTTTCCATTCTCATAGACCTGACCTTTTTGTCCTCTCCTGTCTTATAATCCATCCATTATCTGCCGCCAAGAAACATCCTATTTTATCTCCTCCACATTGTCTTGTCTATACATATCCATCAGAAAACCTTGTCATGCCTCCCTTTCAAATACCATTGACTTCATTGCCTTCGAAAATTTAATTTCCCAGCTTCAGTCACCTTTCCTCATAGCTGGTTATTTTAAATGCCACCACACTCCTTGGTATGATTCACAACTCGCTTGGCCGATCTCCACAACTGACCTTATTCTTCTTAAGTTAGATCACCCCACACACTTTGACATGTGCACACGCAGTCTTTTTCATGCATTGACCTCTCTACGCTTCCCTTCTCCAGTGAGATTTCCATTGGACAGTTCAGTTCTAGTTCTTTCCTTAGTGACCACTTTCCAGTCCTCCCTTTTCCTACTTCAAATGTACTATTTCCTAACTCCCCATAATGCTTTGATAGAGCAGACTGACATATTTTCACTTCACTCTGCTATTCTTACTCCTCCATCCCCCTTCTCATCCAATTCAGATAGGATTGAAGGTTTCACAACTAGTTCTAAGAGCTGCCTACACGGCCATTCCTTAAACCTCAAGACCTTTTTACTTCCAAATGTGTTCCATGGTGGAAAGTGCTTTGCTTAAAATGTCCAGCCTGGAACAGTTACCACTATAAACGAGGTACCACTAATAAACTATTAGCCCTTATCTCCTTTCACCGCCTTTCACCGTCATACAATCCGGAACAGTAAAACAAATAGCTGACACAATTATTTCCTCTATTACATGTACATCTATCTCAACTGTTTGGCATCGGATCCATACATTAACAGGCAAACGTTCCCCCCACCTAGCCCCCAGCCCCCATATTCTAGATAATATCGTTTGATCCCCTCCAAGTCATTAATGAACAAAGTGACTAATTTCAGTTAGGTCAATAATGGTTCTGACCTTTCTCCACACTTCTCTTCTATTAAGACCATCAGAGAATGCATCCCTATTAACACCCTATCCAGTCCTATAATGTTCCTCCTCTTCCTCTGAACTTAGTCGTGCCGCAACACTTGTGAAGATCCTGACGGTATTCACTACCATATCCTTGCATCTTTTTCTCTTTTCTATTAACTATTTTCAGTCACATATGGAGGTCAAGAATTTTTTCTTCTCATTGGCGAGCTCTTACACTTGTGCAATAAATCAGGTACCCCCTTAAAGATTACCTCCCCATCCCTCTAACTAGCTGTTTGTGCAAACTACTAGAGCTAATAGTTAACTGCTTAATGTGGTATCTTGAATCTCACAATCTTCTCTCCCCTTCCCAGTTTGGTTTCTGCTGTGCCCGAAGTACAGCTGACCTTTGTTCATTTCAAGACAATACATCTGTATTTGTACGCCATGACTCCATATTAGCCGAATTCTTTGACCTAAAAAATGGTACCACATGGCGGTACCATATTCTCCAACTCTTCTCCCTAGGCATATATGGAAACATGAGTCTTTGTAAAGTCTTTCCTTTCTAAATGCATTTTCCAGGTCAAAATCGCCTCTTCCACATCATCCTTTCCTCGGTTTGAAGGCATCCCGCAAGGCAGTGTGCTCAGCACCACTTTATTCTTTCGTGCTGTTAATGACATTCTCAGTAATACTGTAGTGACCTGGATTGCAGCCTCCACGTCAAATGACCATCCGAGCGGCATCCGAACGTTTGGCGCCACCGAGATGTTCAAGGATGCCTGTTGTCGTATGCCACGCAGAAGAAATGCCGAACCACGTTATTTCTTGATTTAATTCTTTATTTAATTTTGTTTTATTTCCATTATCTGTCCACGATATAGATACAAAATTCAGATCTACAGTATGTCAAATTGTATTTAAAATGTCCAG